TAGCTACTCCAATATATTATTTTAATATAGTATTTAAACATTTATCTACTTTCGTTTTTCGGCAGTAATAATTATCGCTACTTTCGTCAGTAGCGCCATCTAACAGAACCGGCTAGAACTATTTTCACTACAAACTTGGACGTTTCGCCACCGATGGCGCTGTAAATACTACTATTTTTATTATTAATAAATAATCATTGAAAATCATTGATAACTGTCTAATAGCAACCGAAATCATACTAAAAATGATTCTTAAATGTAGCTATTAATCTACAAGCATAGTATCTAAAAAAATCCAAATCGAAAAAATAATTAATCTATTCTTTCTCGTGAGGCGGAAGCATAGCAGCAACGATTTTAAGAAAAATCGAGCAACTCGTCACCATTGTAAGCCGTTAAACCCGTAATTTTCTGGTCGTGTGGTTAATCGAGGTTATTAAGTTCTCGATTACGTCCGAACCAATTTATCTTGGAATTTCAGGTGATCTCCGTCTCCGAGGCGAAAGATTCACGACTGAAAAAGATTCTACGGTCGCGAGCGTACGTGCTCACTCGTCGATAGCGACGGGTTTACGAGAATCCACGCGTCACTCGCGCGGTGGCGAGCGTGCAAATGAACACTGTCCGGTAAGCGTGGGTCTTTCACCGGCGAAACAAACTGTCACGCTTTATGTACTCGCGACGAATCCTACGCGATCACGGCAGCTGCAGCTGCGACACGCTCGTTGCCCGGTCTCCTGGTCTTCGGAACGTCCCACACGATGGAGGACGTCTGGCGCGCATACAATATCCTTTGCACTTTGTAGATCGATATTTTTCAGCCGTCCACGGTATCCGCCGAGGAGAAGGTAAGTGATACCGAGTCCCGTTGGGCGGAGAGAGTCGATGTCGGATCGTTCGGACGAGATGTTGGCGATCCGCAGAGGCAATAAATTTGAGATTCGTCGAGTTAGTGTCGTCAATTCTGGTATATCCGACAGGGCGATTGTGGTAAAAATTGTCAAAGTCCAAGAGAAAAGAAAAATGCCGACAACAGCTCCCTCGGATTAGAATTCAACATTGACGAGTCTGCAGACTCGAAGTTCATCGATATCAAGTGTCCAAGATCCACAGTCGTTATCGGTAGGTAGGTTGCCATACTCGAGTGCTAGAACATAGCGTCGGATCTCTCGTCTACGAAGCCATCGATATCGAATGTCCCGAGTCAGACATTGCCGGTGGTGGTATCGAGTTTCTCCACTCGGGGGTCATCGATATTGGCTCTTCAGAGTCCGAGGCTCCAGATTATTGGTCTCAAATCCTGCGGTATCGCTGTTTTAAATGATAGATATACCTATGGAGATTCGGTTCCAATTGAATCCAATTCCAGCTGAACCTCGAAACGATAAGTCATCGAAAATCAGGATGGAAACTCTTGGTGGATGAGACGCTCAGCCGCACCGTACCGCGGCGCGTCGGGGTATCCTAATTGAGCTATAAGAGTGATCGGCCGTCTGACCAGTAAGAAACCCGTTGCAATAACCGCAATTTCGTGCGCGAAATTTCGCGACGCACTTCACCCTGGTGTAATTTCCATCGTTCACGCTTAAATCGTGCCACATTTCGTGGCTCGGCTTCA